CTCTTCCATCAAAAGAGAAACATGTATTCATTTGTGAATCAATGAAGATGTATGCACAACGTTATTATCTGATTTTTTTATATACTTGAACTTGATTTTGCAGGTGTGAACCCAAGAATAACAATGATCACATGTGCCCTTCTTTGTTTTTATATGTGCTGGTAGCAGCAAGAAAAATCACAGCAAACTGGATTTTTTATCTTCTTCGGTTATTTGTGATTACAACCAAACCAGATTTTTTTTTATCTTCACATTTTCCTTTACTTATTAATGATTACAAATGTATTAGTTTACTATATTGGTAAATATACTTTATACGTTTATGATTATGACTAAATTGAGGTGTTTTATTTATTTATTTTATTTTTTGGGATGGTGGTTTACTCATGCCAACTTTTATTGTTACATATAATCATTCACGATCAACATAATCAAATCAAATAAAATTCTTAAAAAAATTTGATTTAATGTACACTTTCGTTCATTTATGAATATACCAGAAAAAATGTTTTTTCAATCTTTATAAAAATAATAAAATATAGTTAAAAATCAAAATTTATGAAATTATATAACTAAATTTGTTTTTATTCATTTATATCAAAAGTCGTTTGAATCATGACTATAAGATTTTTTTTATTCAATTTGAACGAAAAATCTTCCATTAAGTATAAATTAAAAAAATCAATGAATTCGTTTTATTTAGGAAGCAGTCAAATAGAATCCCTAAATTTTTGCCAACTCATATTTACAATTACTAATATGCCCTTATATATTGATTGGTGTAGAATTGTTCTCGCGTTCTCAACCTTTTAGGTGTTCTCATTTCATTCTTTCCCTATATATATATATATATATATATATATATATATATATATATATATATATATATATATATATATATAAACCTTATTTTTCTTATGCCTCCGAAATTAGATTTACAGGGTTCTTATGACACCACGTATCCTACCTTCTGAACGACGCCACGAATCTTGAAGGAGTGCAATTGATCGGGTTTGATGTAGATCCATGGGTACCGTCGCCTTTCTTAAAGACACCATGTTCCTTCAAAGTGGATCACTGTCGTTTCATTTTTTGACGCCCCTTAATCCGCCAAGTAACACATATATTGTCAAAAATCATCTACAGATTCTCTTTTCCGATTGCAATTCTTCGTCCAATTTAGTTTGATCGGCTGGTGATTCCTTCATCTCCCTCCTCCTACATCATCAATTGGCAGCCGTCTGTACCCTAATCTTTCGTCTTCAACGATTGACAACTGTCCTTCACGGTTTGATTTTGTCATTTTTAGGTTTATTTGTTTTGTATGTTTTTTTCTACTTCTTAGTTCCATTTCCCATCTGATTAGGTTTTGAGTACAGAGAGAGAGGCAGTGTTTCGGTTTCTTGGTTTAAGGTAATTCATCTTCTTTCTTTTGTTTCAATCCAGTAATTCCATCTTAGAATTTCTATTTGTTATTTGTTTGAACAAAATCTGGAGTTCATTCTACAGTTTGAAAAGTTTATGGATTTTGTGCTTCTATAATTGGTTTTCACTTGAAGAACTCTAAAAAAAACCACTAATTTACAAGGGAATATTGACCTCCATTTTGAAGAATTTTTGTGGTTCACTTCAGTTTTCCAATTTCTTATAGAAAATTTCATCAAAGTCTGATTTTTGAACTCATAATTTGTAGGTTGAATCATCATGTTCGACAAACCTACCCCCGTTGCTCAAATATTTGTTGTTTGAAAAATTCTTCAATGCTTGCATAATTCAGCATGATGAAATAAAAATGAGAAAGCATATGAAATTTTTTTCTACTCGCTTTTCAACTATGTATCTTTTATAAGTTTAGTAAACTAAAAAAGCAAATTCATTTTGATAGCTAATTTGATGTTCGTGTTGGGAAGATGCTTATACAAACTGTTATTTTTTAATATCTATTGGTAATTGAAATTTATTCATGACACGTTTGGATGTTTTAGTGGTCAAACATGGGTGTGAACTACTAGCAAATTACATTTCAGCCTTTGAAAACCCACCTCATGCTTCCTTCATGCCTTTCGTCTCCTGCTTGTCTGTTTTTAGTTAAAAACCACATCTGGCCACCTCCTGAATTAATTACAATCTTCTATTAAGTTGACCACTATAATTATGGACTAATATCCTAGATGCTTTATATGTGTTTGACATTATTTCAGTTTGACTTGTGTCTATAATATCGTGCGGTGTTGACCAACATAATGTTTTCATGGAGTGTGCTTAAATTTGGACATTTGGTGGGTTGATGAAAAGAGAGCTAGGAAATGAGAAAACAACCATCCGTTGATTATCTGCTGAAAGATATTGTTCAACCGCACATCACTTTCTAGCTACTCATGTGGCTTAAACTAGCATACCTTTCTTACATTTAGAAAGTAAAACATTTTATTAAGTTGTGTAATCTAAATGAGAACAGAGTTTGCATTTAGATGACCCTTTTGCTGATCTTGCCATCTATCATGGGTGCATGCTCTATTGTATATCAATATAATTAAAGGTGTGGTTGGTGAATGGTTTGGTCTTATAATTGTAATTCTCTTTATGCAACAGATTATTATAAGTGAGTATCCTCCCCTTCCATATCACCTTAAACAAATGTATCCTTATTATGTTTTAACATATCAATGACCTTAAACAAATGTATCCTTATTCTGTTTTAACATATCAAACATGTTGCATTGAGGCTAATGAAAGTATTAAGTTAATATTTTCATTATCTTTAGCTGGTATCGTCAGATTAGTACTAGACTATTAAAAATCCATGGCAGGCTATTTTCTTCTCTTGCCTAAATTACAGTTTTGTCCTTCAGCTTTTATATTTTCTCCCGACTTTCCTCACGTAGAGCATTTCACCAGAACAAGCAAAAAGGTTCACGAAGTTTGCTTTAGAGAATGGAAGGGTGTTATATGGGGAAAGATGTGGTATGGAAACAACCACAAATTTTAAAATATTTACAAGTTTGGATTTTTTTTTAATTAGATAGTCGGTCACACGCCTTTTATTTATGTTCACAAGGTAAGGACGGAAATCACTCTCGTTCTTTGAGGTGATGACAATCCAAATGTGAGCATTTTGCATGATATATTGTTGTATTACTCATTTTACAACTTTTATCTTCGTTACGGCTAGGCAACATAACATTTTTTTTTATCTTTGTGTCATTTATGCAATGACTATAGCATTGGTTAAAATTATCTTGTAGAGCAAATTACTATTTTCGTTCAAATATTTTTATGCAACATTTGTTTATACTCAATTCACTGTACTGCCTCATATATATGTAAGCACACATGTAAGCACACCCAGTTTATTAACACTAAGAACCATAATTCAAAAGCTATATATGGTTTACTGACGTTTCTTTCCTATAGTTGTTCTACTTCATTTTTTTCCATATTTGGTATCTTTTTAGCTTACTGTATACTTGGTTATGTTTTTTGTTGTAATAGTATAACCACCTTTTCGTAATGATTGTTGATATGAGGTCTTAACTGCAACACTTGGACTTGTGAACGGATTCGTAAGTAGATCAAATGATCAATATGCAATCTATCAATGGATAAACAACAAGTCAAGAGTTCCCAACATACCAACTTGAGACGATGTATGGGCCTGATCGTCATGGCTCTTGTTTTCATATATGTTGTAAGATTCAATACACAAATACATATGCATTCTACTTGATTGAAGATGTATAATGTGAGCTGAAAGTGTGCATTGGTAACAAGAATTTAAGCCTCTGGCAATGAAACTCTCAAATCACATGATGCTTGTCGATGTTTTATAAAACATAAATAAAGTTACTGCAACTCACACAATGTACTTCTGTTTATAATTGAAGTAAAAGAAATAGTGTATAATCGTAGTTAACAAGTTGAAAAAAAAAACAAATTAATGAAACAATAAGTGGTTGTTAATTTTCCCACCACGTCCATTTGAATCTTTTATATTTTAGTACTCATATACTTTAATATAAAAATACTATAAAAATCATAACATTATACCTTAGTGTTTTAAAACACCCAAATTACCCTTTACGGGGCACACAATTTAACATTGAACAATTACAACAAATCTTGCAAAAAATATGAAACCGAACCGTCATTTACTTGTTGATTTATGTGCTGTACATTTGTTTTTACTTTGATTTTACCGTAGTAAATGAATATAATTTGACACTGCCGCAATATCGTAAATTAACCATTACAAATTGCTAAAATCGCTTCTTTTTAATACATTAATCTTTTTTATATCCTAACAGCAATAATGATTTTGTTTTAACAAATTTACAAATAAAAAGTTAGAAATGTGCAAAGGTTTCGGTTTAACATATTAGCCATGTGGAATTGTGGATTGCGTAATCATTGGGTGTATTTTATACATTATGTGACCAATGAGCCCAATCCATTCATTAACCCACCCACTCTTACAAGAGCCCACTAGAACCTTACTTCTTTTTGTAAAAATAAGTTATAATATGAAAACATGGAAACATGTATGTGTCTGCTCTATTTGGTATTTCATAGTATATTTTCTATTTTTTTTTTCTATTTTTATAATTATGAAATTAATTATAATGTCAATTGATCCTAGAAGGGTCAGACCGGTTGAACTATCGAACCAATAAGGCGGCCAATTTGAGATCCGGTTGTAAAAATATTTATCATTGACCCAGTTTTTGTACCAGAACAAAATCATCAACAATTTGTGAGTCAGTTTTTATTTGCAGTGGTTCTATGGTAAGGAACTATAACATTTGTTTTTTCATGAGGTTAATCAACATCAATGACTTGGAAGGATCAAACTGAAGGTTCAAATCAAAATTAAGCTTCTTTTTTTTTGGAAGTAGTAGGTACTTATTATATTATGTTGATATTTTTGATGCCGGTCACAGTTGCTAAATTTCTAGAATCTTGTTGGGCAATTTTTTTCAAGTAGTGAGGATGACCATTGAAAAATGCCATGGGTAAAATGGGAATTAGTGCTTGCGGATATGTCTAAAGGAGGGCTTAATATTGGTAGTTTGGCAGCTTTCAGTTTTTCTCTCCTTCAAGAGTGGCAGTGGAGTTTTTTAAATTTTAATAATATACTTTGGGTGCGAATTATAAAAGCAATATATGGTGAAAATGGGGGTCTTGGGTCTGACATTGTGAGAAACCGAGTGTACAACCCTTGGATGAAAATCTTGGCTTCCTTTAAATGTCTTGAAGATAAACGTATCATTCCTCGTGATGTTTTAAAGAGAAAACTTGGTAATGGCTCTGATATTCAATTCATGAATGTTGTATGGTGTGGCAATTAGAACTTAGCTTCTCAATTTCGTCGTCTCTTCCGTTTAGAAGTGAATCAGAATTGCATGGTTTCTGATAGAAAAATGTCCATTAGTCAGGGGCGTAAGTTACCTTACATCAACCTAGGACCTACCTATTTTTCTTAATAATAATACAAAGTATATATGAAAACAATAGGGACCTACCTTAATGCATTATAATCTTTGGCAAAACAAATTATCAGCCCATATTTTATAGAATAGTCCAATGCATAAATTCAATTTAAATTTATTTATTAGGCAATGGCCCAATCCATTTGAATAATAAGAAAAAGCCCTCATAAAACGTCGCCTAAAGATCGTGAAGATCATAAATTCATAATCACTAATCAACATCTCAAAATGATGCACGCCTCGACACGTTCTCATTGGCCTGATCGATTGATCCCACCTTCCGGCGTCCAAATGACCCGACCCACCACCACTAATATTTTGTACTCTTTTATATTTTTTTTCAGTTTTATTTATATAAGGAACCACGTGATTTTTGGTTCTAGATTCGACATTGTCACTGGTTAGAGATGATGTTGGCGTCGAGATGTCCCGCCGGGGGGGGGGGGGGGGGGTTGAGGTTTACAATCAACGGATTTGAATAGAATTCTTTCGGAGATAAATTTATCAGACACGGTGGATACTTGGTTGTAGCCTATAGGAACGGATGGAAATTTTTCGGTTTCTAACACTAGAAGGTGGATTGACAAAAATTTTTTGCCTAATGTTGACATAAAGAATAGATATCGTTTTATTCCCCGTAAAGTTAATATTTTAGTGTAGATGATCTTGTTGGATAGATTGTCGATTATGTTCAATCTTGAATACTGTGGTATTGTCATTCCTTCTATTTTATGCCTAATGCGTAACTTGAAAGTGGAGCAGTTGGACTATGTATTCATCCACTGCGAGTTTGTGGCGAGAACTTGGAATGTGGTGTTCAAATGGCTAGAAGTTTTTCATGTTTAGTTTAATTCTATTAATCAACTTTTCCATCAAGTTGATAACTTACGTGTTTCTGCAAATAAAAGGAGTGCTATATATGCGGTGTGTTGTACAATGTTATGGTTTTTATGGAGGTATCGGAATGATAGTGTTTTTGGAGGAGGAAAAATGAGAAAGGACATTATTTTTTATTCTATTAGAGAGTTTTGGTTTCTTTGGTTTAGTAATAGGTTCAGTAAAATTGTTTTCATTGGAATTATTGGTTGCAATTTCCTTTAAACTTTTGGTTTGTTCTCTAGCTACTTGCTAGAGTTTATTCAGAGGATGGATCATCGTTAATTTCTTGGATAATAACTTTTACATGGGACATGAAATAGATATGTAGGTGGGTTTTACAATATTCAGTGTAGATATTTATCTTCTTAAATTTCTCTACACATCTTGAAAGATTAATCACATCTTGGTTGTTGCCAAGTGGTTGCAGACCAAAATCAAGTTGAATTTCAAGCATGCATAAATCCTAATACATAGGCTCGTGTTTCACATACTCTATTTCTTGCATCATCGCATTCAACTCATGTATAGAAACTCTTCAATTTCTACATTGTCAACGTAGATATATTTTCTTTAGTTAAGAGTATCAACAATAGGTTAGAGATGGATTATGCAAATCATATATGTATATATAATTAGTATATTATTAAAGGCTGCAACACGTTAGGATGAGAGAGAGAGAGAGAAGGGGCAAGAAAAAGACCAAAAAGCCCTCGTTACCTCGTGTGAAATACAAGGAGGGACCTTTATTGATGAATCTGCCAACCATAAGGATCATTGATGTCAAATTTCAAAAACTGGAACCAACCTTGTAGAAAGTCATATACCAAAGGGACCAAAACTGTAATTTACTCTACATTTATATATATATTCCGTGTAGAGTTGGGAAAACCCAAAATTTGCTTCATCTCCTTCCGTGTTGGAATCAAGAACCCCGCCCCTTTCCTTGTACTCAATTTCTCCTTTAAAGAAGCCTTACAAATTTGGATTATACCCAACTTCTCCAATCATTCTCTCTGTTCTTTTCTTGATTTTGACAGGTAAACCCATCAATTTTAATTTCTTGTCGTTGCGTTCTTCATTGGGTTTAAAGAAGCAACTCTGTCACGTTTCATGTATTTTTTTTTCTGCGATAATCCTGTTTTCTTCTTTAATCGCGTTTTAAGCATTCAATCCGGTTGTTGGGGTTTTTGTTGTGATGTTTTTCAATTGTTTGAAATCTGCAGAAAGCAATCAGAGTACAGATATGGCTAAATGCTCGTTCAAGCTCGAACACCCATTGGGTATTGTTCCATTAATCGCAATTTCTTTTTCTTTTGTGGTTTTCCTGTTTCATTCTCCTATTGGGTGTTAACCTTTTAATCGTTTGATTCTTGATACTTGATCATTAGATAAGAATATTTGTTTAATTGGGTGTTTCGATGTCTGTTTTCAAAACGATTATTGCATCAAGATGAGCAATTAGATAATAAGATCGATTGCTAAACCTGAATTTCTCTTTTTTGTTTATGTAGAGAAGAGGAAATCTGAATCCTCTCGCATCAGAGAGAAGTATCCTGACAGAGTTCCAGTAAGACGTTTTGTTTCTTTATCAATCAAACTTTATGTAATTTTATTTGTCTCTCGACTCTTAAGTAAAATTTTGGTTTCAGGTGATTGTTGAGAAAGCTGAAAAATCGGACATTCCTGACATAGACAAAAAGAAGTATGTAAATGTTAACCTTTCCCATTTGTTGTATCTATCTTAGTTTATATAGGATTAAATGAAAGAAATAACAACCTAATTTTATCGATTTGATTAGATCATTGCAGTTTTTACATTGGAGCCATTTATATAAAAAGATATGAATGTGATGGGACCCACAAAATGGTAATAAGTTAATGTTTTTATTGCAGATATCTAGTGCCAGCTGATTTGACCATTGGTCAATTTGTGTATGTTGTTCGAAAGAGGATCAAACTTAGCTCTGAAAAAGCTATTTTTGTTTTTGTCAAGAACATGCTCCCACCAACTGGTAAGAATGAATGACTTAATTCATAAAGAATGTCTTATTGAAGAAAGTGGTAACATTCCTTTTTGACTGTTGATAGCTGCTTTGATGTCTGCAATTTATGAGGAAAACAAGGATGAAGATGGATTCCTCTACATGAGTTACAGTGGTGAAAACACATTTGGATCTTTTGAAATGTGATAATTGTCGATGTGATATGAAAAAAAATGTAAATTCCTAGTCTGTAAATGTAAGTATATGTTGGTTTTAATTCGAATACATGGTTAAAATGTTACAGATTCAATCATTTTATATTCTGATTCTTGTGCTTTTGTTACATATTATTGATATGATAAAATGAAAGTGTCTTGTGATGAATGAAGGATAGGCTGTTGATAAAATGATCAGAAATGTGAACTTGTGAATATCCTTCTCAAAAATAGATAAATAAAAAGTTATTTTGAATTTTCAAATCAATATTTTGACCTCAAAAGAGCCCCAAAACCGTAATCCATTTATATTATATATTATATTATTATAATTACTCAAACAAGAAGGTCCACATGACATATAGAGTTGATATGATATGTGTCAAAAATGTCACATAACTTTATTCATCAGGATTGCATTCTCAACTACACCAGTTACTCTTTCTTGTGAAGTTCTTTCAAAAAGTCTTCATTGTCAACCAGAACCTAAACAATACAATACAATTAATCTTAGACTTCAAAAAAAAAAGTCAAACAAACTCATTTTGAAAAGTCAAATGTTGTAAATGAAGATAATTTACCGTTTTCCAACCATCTGGATCAAGAAAAGCAGTGATTTTAGTATTGATCCCAGGAATTGGTCCAGGCTGCCTTGTTACCTTTCCACCAAGCTCTTTGATAACATGATTAACAACTTCACCACTTTTATACACATCACTTGTACTAATTGCAACCTATAATTAATATCATCAAGTCCAAATTCTTGCATTTAACCAAATCTATATGCCAAACAAAGATAACAAGAGAACAAATTTACCTGTGCATATGCATTTCCTTTGGTATATTCAGTTACACCATAATTGTATGTGAGCTCCAAAACAGTTGTTTCCTTTTCTTCTGCATACCCCATCATTGCCAAAGTGTACTGTGTTTCAAAAAAAAATGTTTTAAGTGTTGTTTCTTTTTTTACAAATTTTATAAACATCATTTATCCAGAAAGAAAAAGAAACAAGGCCTTAAGAACATACCTTTTGTTCTGGTCTATCAATTTTCCTACATAATTGCATCCCCAATGCCTACACAGAGTTGAAACAAGATATCAATAATTTCCTACATATGTTCTTAATTCTACAAATCAAATATACATACATTACATTTATTAAACAAATTAAAATTTACCTTCTCATAGAACTTAATTGATCTATCAAGATCACCAACACGAAGCATCACTTGACAAAGGGGTTCAGGAGTTCCTCCTCTTTCAATGAGCTCAAAAAGATAACCATCAGGATCTTTAGCAAAAGCAATTACACTTGTTCCACCTTTAACGGGTCCCGCTTCCCTTGTAATAGTTCCACCTTTAGCCTTAATATCTTCAGCAAGTTTATAAACCTGAAAAACAAACAAACAAATTTAACCCAGAAAAATAAACCAAATCAACACCACATCAAAAGCCTTGATAGGACACATGATAAAACAGTTGAACTGCTTTTGGACTTGATTCGACTGATCTCTTGTCTGTGCAAAAAGACGTAAATGCCCTCATGATCCTCGTTATTATTAAGAGTCATACATACAAAGCTTAATATAATACATACATCTGAGGTGGCAATTGCAAAATGCCCAAATCCAGTTCCTATGTCATACTTATCCACTCCGTAATCTGTGAATTAACAAAAACCAAAAACAAATAAACATGATTATCTATAAAATTCCAAAAAGAAAAAAAACTAATTTGAAATATTTAGATCTTTAGAAGCATACTGTAAGTAAGCTCCACAGCAAAGTTTGATTCTTCTGGACCAAATCCGAGAAAAGCATTTGAGTACTTCTCCTCTGGTATGTCTCTTTGCCTCAATAATTTCATCCCAAAAGCTTCTGTGTAAAATCTGATATTTATAAAATGTTGAAATAAGTGAATTATGTAATATAGAATAATCTAATGGTTAATTTTGGTGACTTACTTTATGCTGCGTTCAAGATCACCAACACGATAGACCGCGTGTAGGAAACGACGCTTGTCTTTTTTTGGAAATTCCAATAACTCGGCACTTGGGACATTTGATGCAGATTCAGCCATGATGAAAGATCGTAGATTGCTAATCTGCTTATAAATACAATGTTAATTCTAAGATTGAAAAGGGAAATGATCGCGTATACATGATCCTTACTTTAGAGGACTTTTTTGGTGTGTTTGTTTTATGTAAAATTGATCGTTATGTTGGTAACAAGGGTTAACAAACTTGAACACTTTACAGTAAACAATTCAAAAACAGAACATTAGCATAAGTTTATTGGTGAATTATTTGATTTCTAAAGTGGGTGTAAGTTTAATTTGTGCAAGATTAATCTTTTGAGGTATATGATTGCAAGCCCTAATTTGTGCTTAAATATAAAAGATACCAAAAAAAGTTGACAATTTACCGATTATTAAGAACCCTAAACCTAAAACGAAGACTACCATCAGAAATTAAGGCGATTTTCGCAGAATTAAATGGAAACCAACAAAATCTTTAGCATAATAACTGATTGAACATGATTTTGGATCTTATAAACAATATAATCTCAAGTTTGATTTACCTTTGTCTCAGAGAGAGAGAGAGAGAGAGAGAGAGAGAGAGAGAGAGCTTACAGAGGAGTGATCGGTGGAGACTGAAGAGCCAGAAGCACAAAGTGACAGAAGTTATTCCCTTTATTTTTCCGTTTTAACCTTGAGTTTCATTTCCGTTTCAAAAATCAAAATTGTGTTAGAAATTTGGTCCTATGTTAGCAAAAAATTTATTTTTCTCAAGAGGATATCTGGGAGTGCTTATAAATACTTTTTAACTTATAACGGTATCGAAACGGGGTTTTTTAAAAAGTGTTTGAAAACGTTTGATACGTCAAATGAGAATTAACTTATCAAAAATTACTTATCTCCGGTGTGGAACCGATATAAGCTATTTTTTTAAAAGTCCTTATCCAAACACTACTTTTAGCTTATACAGGTAATAAGTTAAACAACTCCTTAAATAAACTTAGTCAAACACCCTTTAAGATTAATAAAAGATGTAAAAAATCTTATTGAAAAGACATGAGAAAATTTTAAAAACACTTCAAAAGCTCGTTGAATAGCTAATCTAAATAGCTCTATAAAAATCGAGTTACAGGGACGGACGCAAGAATGTCTAGCAACAGTGTCACCTAATTTTTATTTTTTTGCACCATATTGCATTGTTTTTGGACCTATAGACTATAGTAGTTGCACATAATTTTTTTAGTAGTTGCACCCTAATACAAAAATACAATTTTATTTTATTTTACCCTTCTAAAATGAAATCAAGTTGTTGTCCAGGCCATCCGGAAACCTTCTATGTCCACCACTGCTAGTTTATAAGCAACTTTAGTACAAATTTATTACAAGTAAATAAATTTTAAAAACAACTACACATAAAAGCTTACATGAGCAACTAAACAAAAGACCCCTCCCCCCCCCCCCCCCCCCCCCCCCCCCCTCTTCTTTTTTTAATGTGATCAAAACGATTAGAATATTGTTATATTAATTATAATTCTATATCTTTTTGGTATGAGCAAAGTGTAATATATGTTTTGAATTAATTTACAGGTATTTATGAAGTTATATGGATGATGAGTGTAAAAGCCACACAACTACACATAAAAGATTCTATGAGCAAATAAACAAAACATGTCGCCTCATGTTTTTTGATATAAAATGTGATCAAACTATTATAAATATTGTTATATCCTTTACAATTTATAAATTACGATGCATGATATGGATGCATGATGTTGTTGCAGTCTTTTTAGAATGGGCAATATATAGAAAACTAGACCTGGCAATTTCAGACACGAAGACACGAATCTGTGAGAGACACGACATGACACGAATACATCTTAAAAATTAAGATAAAGCTTATTTCTCATCGTGTAATCATATCGTATCAAATTCGTGGCTGACACGTTTTCATGACACGAATACACGAATTGTCAGGTCTAAGAAAACCAAACTTAAAGGGCAATACGGTCCAATTTGTTATCAAGTGAATGACCAAAATACCCTTAGAAAGAAACAGAAACTAAAGTTGAAAAAGCGGAAGATGCATCATGCATGAATGTTCATGTAAATTACCTTCGAATCTTCGTTTTTATTTTATGTTAATAATTAAAACCTAAAAGAATTCTATATGGGCTTTGCGGCCCACCAAGTGACGTGAGCCGTTACCAAAGGTAGAAGGCTCGACTCACGACCACCGTAGATCTTGACACGTCACACCTTTTACTGCGTGTTTTCCTGTAAATCACACACGGTCAGGAAAACGTCCAGATTCAATGAACCTTAAAGGCCGCCCCTCACCTTTGATAACCCGTTTTCTTCTCTTGTTAATATATAAATTTCCTCCCTCTTAACCAAATTCATCATAAAATTCACAGATTTCAATCGGTTCTAATTACTTGATACAAGTTTCATACTTCAACAATGGCGTTAGCTGTTACTTCTTCTACTTCAATCGTTTTTTCATCTTCTAATCGTACAGAACAAGGTAAATTCATCGATCATAAGTTTAGACATCGATATTAGTTTTTATGCGTGTTAATTTGTATGGGTTTGTTTTGAATTAGGTTTTTTGGTCATGGGTTTGAATAATTGAATATTTGTTGCAGGTGTTCAGTTCAATTCAAGCAATTTTCAACCGTCCGATCGGGCGAATCGATCGCCAGCTGTTTTCAATTTATCCCAGAAACGATCTGCGGCGGTGAAGCCTTTGAATGCTGAACCGAAGAGGAACGATTCAATCGTTCCTTCGGCCGCTACCATATTTGCTCCTGGTATGTATAATTACACATGATATTTCTAGGGTTTTTTTGTAAATCAATTAATTGATCATTAATTCGAATTAATTTGTGATAATTCAGTCGACAAAATCTGTGATAAGAAATACCCTTTTGTATAATCCCCTGTTCTTTCTTATCATTAAGCATAATAATACCCTTTTTCCGAAGAGGATTTTTTTGACTTTCTAAAGGTCAAAGCTTTTGCTTTTTAAATGCAAAATTATTAAGGATTTTTTAATGAATTCGCTGCATAATTGTTGTTTTTATTTCTAATACTTTTAAAATTTTTTACCATAATCATTAAATTTCTTGGAATTTTGTAATTTTGCTTCAATTTTGAAGTTTGACACTTGATCCTTTGACCTATTGTGTAAGCCTTCTTTAATGGAACTAGGGTTTTTTGGTGGGATATTCTTGTTCAATTGTAGTGGTTTAATGGAAATAGTTTTAGTATACCACGAAATACAAGTCATTAAAGCATTAACATTATAACATAGCCTTCTAACGTGTAAAATGACGAGAATGCCCTTGGTGTTTGTATCAGATGTGGTGGAGAAATCAGTAGAGGTGGTAGACATCGAGAAATTGGCTAAAGATCTTGAAAATTCTTCTCCACTTGCAATCATGGATAAAGCCCTCGAAAAATACGGGAACGATATCGCAATCGCTTTCAGGTAATTCAACAGTACAACTCATTTATCCATAATTTACAATCACCCAATGACCAAAACTTAACATCCCAAAATCATTTCTCAATTCCAGCGGCGCCGAAGATGTCGCTTTAATCGAATACGCCCACTTAACCGGACGTCCGTTCAGGGTCTTCTCCCTCGACACCGGAAGACTAAACCCTGAAACCTACAAATTCTTTGATGAAGTCGAGAAACATTACAACATCAGGATCGAATACATGTTCCCAGACGCTGTAGAAGTTCAAGCCCTAGTAAGAACCAAAGGTCTCTTCTCTTTCTACGAAGATGGACATCAAGAATGTTGTCGGGTCAGAAAGGTCCGACCTTTGAGACGGGCTTTGAAGGGTTTGCGGGCATGGATAACGGGTCAAAGAAAAGACCAATCACCCGGGACCCGATCGGAGGTCCCTGTGGTTCAAGTCGACCCGGTTTTCGAAGGGATGGATGGTGGGCCAGGTAGCTTGGTGAAGTTTAACCCTGTGGCTAATGTAGCTGGAAATGATATATGGAGCTTTTTACGGACCATGGATGTCCCGGTTAACTCGTTGCATGCTCAAGGGTATGTGTCGATAGGGTGCGAGCCATGCACGAGGTCGGTGTTGCCAGGTCAGCATGAGAGGGAAGGAAGGTGGTGGTGGGAGGATGCTAAAGCTAAAGAATGTGGGTTGCATAAAGGGAATTTGAAGGAGGAATCGGTCAATGGGAATGGGAATGGGAATGGAAACGGGAATTCCGCTGCGGATATCTTTGAGAGCCAAAATGTTGTGAATTTGAGTCGGACCGGAATTGAGAATCTTGTAAAGATGGAAGACCGGAAAGACGCGTGGATGGTTGTTCTTTATGCACCTTGGTGCCCGTTTTGTCAGGTACTAATTCTAAATAGCAATGTACTTTTATTGATTTGGTTATTACTTATTATCATCCTTTCTTTCATTTATAACTATTAAAACATTTATATATTTTTTAATAATGAAATTATGTTGTTATTTCTTGAAGGCAATGGAAGCATCGTATGTTGAATTGGCTGATAAATTAGCTGGAAGCGGTGTGAAAGTTGGGAAATTTAGAGCGGATGGTGACCAAAAGTCGTTTGCAAAGCAAGAATTGCAACTCGGGAGTTTCCCAACAATTCTTTTCTTCCCGAAGCACTCGTCTAGACCTATTAAGTATGCGTCTGAAAGGAGAGATGTTGACTCGTTGATGGCTTTTATTAATGCTCTTAGATGATGATGATGATGATGATGATGATGAAAAGAAGGCTTGATGTGTATGTTGTGCATCGAGAACTTGTACCTAGATGTACAAGTGAGCAGGATCTTGATCGGGTTTGGGATGTGTAAAGATAGTTTTGGTTTTGGTAGTTGTATAATAGAGTAATAGTCGTACAGTTGTTTGTTTTGTTAGAGTTTGAATCTTAACTGCATTTTGTACTTGGAAGTCTTGATGGAGAATGATCGTTTCCATTATTGAGTCGTTATTATAGATGTCAACAGGTTAATTATGAAAGATGGGAGACTGAGTTTTGTTATGGGAATTAATATTTCCACGGAAGATTTCTATCCATCCAAAACAAAATATATACATTGATAACTATGCCCTTTTTTTAATTTACTGGTATTGAAGAAAGAGAAAGTTCTGGATCTATTTCAAACGACGTACACAATCGTCATCCTCCTTCTACGCTGCTTTATTAGATTTTTACATATTCTCTTTCAATCTTTATTCCAAGAGCAAACTCATCTTTCCTCTCAACGATTTTCTGATAATTCATACACATCTTAATTGATTCATCAACATAACAGATGGACAATATGTTTTATAGTATAATTCGTAGGTTGCTTCAAGTTAAAGGGAGACCTGGTATAGTCCATGTGATTTGAGGTTGTCTTTGATATAGTCTTTTTATGTTGTGATTTTTGTTTTTAACCAACGTAAAAGGACTCTTTGCCATTTCTAATTTCTTTTTAACTTTTTTTATTATTAATAGTTCTACCTTTTATAATAAAAGAAATTGAGATGATACCACCCCTACTAAAACCTCCCTGGATACCACCCTTTTCTTTTCCTTTCACTAATTCTTCATCTCCACGCTCATCTCTCTCTCCCTCTCTCACACACACACACACACAATAATGCTTCATCTTTGCCTCTCACCTCCATCTAACCCATCAACACCAAACGTCGCCGCTAATCCTGATGACGATCTCCAATCCAAGTCACCCAATCCCTCATGAAAACAGGCCCAAGCAAACGGTGATCGCAGAGAAAAGAATCTTGGACGAAGGTTGTTACCATCAGTTATGCAAGTTTGACAGTTCCCACAGTTTGGATGGTTTTCCAATTTTAGATATAAGTTTTTGATCTATTTAATGTCCCTGAAGAATAACAGTTCCAAAATTTAGACCAACCACAATCATTGTTACTTCCATCCCTTCATACCTAAACAAACAGCCCGAACGACGTTGGAGTTTAAGCCAATTTTTCCTCAGATCCTTTCCAACTTCGAACAGTCATATCTTCTTCGTTTTAACTCCGTTTCGACGATCCTTATATCCACGGAAAGGTAATGAGAAGCTCTACAATCCTATAAACTCTCATTTTCCTTAGAACTTCCAAAATTAAAATCCAATATTCAAAGAAGCCCGAACTGCCACTTTATAGATATACCCTTGGGCTCTGCAACACCATC